TTATTATTTTAATAAAAGTAACTCTTACCAAAAACACACACAACAGTTGATCTTTATCCAATTATATAATTTATTTCATTTTATTTTATTAATCTAAACTAAGTTGTATCTACTTATAAAACAAGATACTGGTGCTCACTGACGACTAAACTAAATTATAAAACTATCTACTTTCCAAAACTATAAAAGGAAATTCTACTTTCTAAACAACCAAAAGAATCCACAACAAAGGTTAAATGATTTGAACTTCCGCCAAAAATATTGTCAATTTTGATTGGACTGGTTAAATATTTACCCATGAAAGACGTCCAAAAAAGAAGCTAGCTGAACCTGGTTTCGATCCAGGGACCTGTGGGTTATGGGCCCACCGCTCTTCCCCTGAGCTATTCAGCTACTTGATGAATGATAGACCAATTAGAATTATAAAAATATTTTTTTAAAAGCGACAAAAATTTAAATTTTTAAACAAATTTTTTTTTATTTTTTTTCATTCTTTCTCTTTTTTTATATTATTTAAAATTGGTTAATTTTTTATTTGTTTTATTTTTACAATAGTATTTAAATAATGTAAGCCATATACGTATAATTTCAACTAGTGTCAAGTTTATTTTTTAAATATATATATGTATATGTATTATTATAAAAGCACAAAGCAAATGCTTTTATTGCAAACTTCTAAATAATAACAATAATAATAACAATAATAATATATATATATTTATACTATAATTGAATTATTTTATTATTGGATACTACTCGATGTTTTAAAAAACTATGAGCCTATGAAAGGTAAGATTGATAATCGCGGCGTTATTAGTAGATAATATGAATGAAAAAAAGCATTATTCGTATAATAATAATATATATATATATATAAATGAATTGGTATAATAAAAAGGCGTCTCTTTTAACTTTAACAAATGTATAAATCAGGACAAAATAAGAGGAAGAAGAAAGAAGCGTTTTTTATTTTTATTAATTAAAAGAAAAAAGGCAACTGAAAAAGCTGACCATAAATTTTTTTATTAAAACTCAAATTTTTTTTTTTGTTTTGTCCTTTTTCTTTTTTCTTTCTTTTTAGAATTGATGCGTGTAGCTCAACACATTAATCTATTTATTCGACGTTTTTCTACTATTGCCCCCCAACTTAATAAATCAACACCAATAAAACTAAAATTAAATACAACATATACCAAGAAACATAATAATAATAATAATAATAATAATAAAAAAATGAAAACAGAAGTAATCAAGGTTGATCTTTCACACTTCCAATTCAAAGAAAAAGTAGGTGGTCTTTTTAATGGACAAAATGCTACGCCACTCATCACATCAACACATGATAAAGAGGCTATTGATAAAGCTGTATATTGGTTAAAACAAGGAGAAGCCATTGGTATACCTACTGAAACTGTTTATGGACTTGCAGCCAATGCTTTGAATGAGAATGCCGTCTCTAAAATATTTACTGCCAAAAATCGACCTCAAGATAATCCATTAATTGTTCACATCTCATCTTTATCCATGCTGGAAAGTATTTTACCTGATGGAAAAATCCCTCCTATTTATTTACCTATTATACAACAATGCTGGCCCGGCCCTTTAACAATTATTGTACCAACCTCTTCGTTGATACCAACCTCTGTCACATGTGGACAACCAACTGTGGCTGTTAGGTTCCCTTCTCATCCTGTAGCAAGAGCTTTAATTGATGCTTGTGGATTTCCCTTAGCTGCTCCCTCAGCCAATTCTTCTGGTAAACCTTCACCTACATTAGCTAGCCATGTCTTTGATGATTTAAATCATAAGATTCCTTTGATTTTGGATGGTGGATTATGTAATGTTGGATTAGAAAGTACCGTATTGGATGGATTAAGAACACCTCCTGCTATTCTAAGACCCGGTGGGGCTACATATGAAATGCTTAAATCGATAGAAGGAATGAACGGATTACAAGTATATAAAAAACATTTTGTAGACCAAGCCTTAGAATTAGCACCAACAACACCTGGGATGAAGTATAGACATTATTCTCCTGAAGCAATGGTCATTTTAATAGTAGAAAAAGAACCATTATCATCAGCTATAGCAACAACAAATGAAAATAATAAGAATAGCAATACATTTGATTTAGTATGGAAAAAAGAATTAAAACATCTTTTAGGCAGTGGTATTGGAATTAAAAAAGTAGGCATATTAAAAACAGTAAATGATAAAAGTATGGATTATGAATGGAGAACCAATATAATGGAAGATGAAATTGAATATGTAACATTACAAATGGGTAGACATGATCATCCTGAAGAAGTAGCAAGAGGAATGTTTAAAGGATTACGTGAGTTAGACTCGACTATAGTCGATGTTATATTTGTACAAGGTGTATCGGAAACAAAGGAAGGGATGGCAATCATGAATAGATTACATAAAGCCGCCTCAAAAACAATTACTTTATAGATTTATTATTATTATTACTTAGATTTTTATTTTCATATACTTATTATATCCCCCACCCTGCTCTGTTTTATTAGTATGACTTTTGTTATTATGTTTATAATTTATCTTGTATTTATTAATTTATAACCTATCATATATATATATATATATATATACTTAAGTTTAAATAAAAAATTATTGTAAAAAAATTTTAATATTTTATAAAGTACTATATTTGGAATAAAGAAATTTATATTCAGCATTTTATTTTTTCATATTTTTTCATATTTTTTTATTTTTCAATTCTCTGTTCCTTCTTTTCTTGTTATTTTTTTCTCTCGCTCTTTTTTTCCTTCCCTCTTTTTTCCTCTTTTTTAACCCATTTATATAAATTAAATACTTTAAAAAAAAATACTTATTCATACTTGTAAATAATTTAAACTTTGTACACTTTTTTATTTTATTAGTTTTACGTTTATATAAAAATATCTTCTGTTTTCTTTTGTTATATAATTATTATATTTATATACACGTAGTAGCAATATCACTATAGCTTTATTATCACTTTCCAAGAAAAAAAAGGAAACCAATAGTTGTGGTAATTATTATCAAAATATTTTTACAAAGAAATAAATAAATGAAAAAGTAATAATAGTTTTTTCTCTCTCTTTTCTTTTTTCTCTTTTTTTTTTCTTGTTTAGTTATTATTAAATATTTTTGAATGTTATACGCTCCATCTCCTTATTCGTCAGGAACCGAAGTATCAGTTTATGAACAAGATGCCTATCCTACTATCGATGTAACCTCATCTATATCTTCTGGTAATGCTTTTTTATTTTTATTTGTTATTTTATTTTTGTTTTCAATCTCGTTATTGTGAAATACAGAGCCTTTACTCACTTTCTAATATACATATATTGAATTTGTTAATACTTTTTAGATGCTGATTTTAATCATGAAACTAATACTTTACCAAATACTACTGATGAAGATAACTTTTTTTTTCTAAGCCAGCTACAAAATGATGCTGCAATACTTCAACAATATAACAATAACAATAACAATAACAATAGTAACAATAGCAATAGTAACATAGTAGATAATATGGATGAAAACAACAACAATCTTGATAATAATAATAATGTTTATATATCATATGACAATAACTTTGAAGAAAATAAAAATAGCAACAATAACAACAAAAATCTTGATAATATAATACACGAAGAAGACGAAGACGAAGATGAAGAAGAGGAAGAAGAAGAAGAAGAAGAGGAAGAAAATAACACATATAATATTAATAATCATTATCATTATCTTCAACAATCCTATCCTTTTGACCCTTCTAATCAATCTTTATACTCTTCACCGACTATTACTGATGATGATTTTGAAACAGCTAATAGAGCCTTCCATGCTACTATCAACAAGTTTTCTAGACAGACTTATCCTGAACATCGTCGACGTGCTCCATATAGTTTTTTAGAAAATTGGCATTTACATAGTATGTACAGTAAATCACAACAAATTTTACTCGGTATTGCTCATGTTCGACCTATGGTATTATTATCTGGTGATGATTTTATGTTTACACCTCCATTACTTCAACAAGAAGATGAAGAAGAATATATGGATGATAACAATTTACACCATGATCATCAACTTCGTTATTTAGATCAACCTACTCAAATGGATTGGATAGATGGTGAAGAAATGTTTGAAGATGATGGTGATATACTTGATGATGGTATTGTTATTATGTCAGCACCTGATCCACCTAGTATTTCTCATCATACACAAAATTATCATCATTATAATAACAATAGTAACAATAGTAGCAATACCAACAATTGTAATGATCATGATGACCAAGATGAACCATTAATATCTCATTCAACCACTTCAACGATATTAAATGAAAATGCATGGATGAAAAATACAGTAGGAGGAAACTTACTTCAACAACAGCAACAAGAAGAAGCTTCTACAGAAAATGATTCTCTTTATTTTTCAGCTGGATTTTCTTCTGAGTTAGTACATTGGTATAGATCAAGTGATCGTGGACGACCTCCTTCAACTATAATGGAAGTTAGTTTTGAAGATGACCCTATCAAAGATAATAGTGACAATAATAATAATAGTAATGAAGATATTGATCATGTAGAATATGAAATAACAGAAGTAGAAGGAGATGTAGATATAAATACAAATAACGAACAATACTTTTTAGATAACAGCAACAGTGAATCTTATATTAATGTTGAAACAGAATATATAGATAAGGATAGTAATAGTAGGAATGATACTATATCCATTTCTAATCAACTAACAACATCTGAAGGATTAAAACCACTTGATTACCAAAATACACATACAATCTATCAATCTTTAACTGATATTACGCCCCCCATACAGTCAACACCTGTTACCATTACTGATGTGACTAATAATGAAGAAGATCACAATGGCGATGATGAAGTTGAAGATGAAGAAGTATTACATAAATATGGGTCGATATCCGAATGTAACAAAGATCAGTTTGCTTCTACATCAACACATCATGATTATTATTATCCTGAACGTTATCCAACCAATTATGCAAACTTTTCAAATCAACTCACAGCTACTTCTGATTTAGTATTAACTATCGCATCTGAATATCATTCTTCCAAATCTAATACAATGATAGATACCACCGCTACTGAAAATAATAATAATAAAAATGAAATATCATTTCTTCAATGTTTATTATGTATATGGCAAGTTTTCTTTTTGACAGCTGAACTTGCATTGGCAATGTTATTGGGACAACATGATCAACAACAACAACTACCTGTAATTATGAATAATCCAAAAAAATCTAATCGTTATCGTCTTAATAATAATACCAACAATACGGTTACAGAACATATCCTTCCTTTTTAATTATGTATATCTTTTTTTTTTTTTTTTAAAAAAAA